ACAAATGCAAGAAAAGCCTCTTCCAAGGCATCCAGGCAGCTCCAGGAAAAGGAGCTCCCAAGGAGGAGCTGTCAGAGAAGCACATGGATTTCACTTTCTCTATAACAACCTGAGGATCTGCCATAGCTCTGGGGACATCCTTGGTCTCAAGCCCCCTTTCTCCAGCTTATCTTCACACCTCCCTCTCCTCCAGGACTGCAGACTCCCCCAGCCACTCACACTACAAATGATTGACCACGAGTTTCCTATCAGTCTGCTGAGGAAGGAAAACCAGGCCAGACCCAAACCCTTATACATGCACACCACTCCTCCCTCTCCACAGCACCCTCCAGACTGGCTTCTGCCCAAAATGATTTGTTTTGGAGCTTGAGTTTTCCTCCCTGCCATTGCACCTCCAGAAACAAGCTGTCCCTCCCAAGTCCTTGCTCATTTTAAAATGTGTGAAGTTCTTTTGGCAAGACAACCTCCTCAGTTTTTCACCTCCAGCTTCTTATTTGCTGGCAGCTCCCTGTCCATTCTTTACAAACACTGGAAGTGCTCAGATTGATCACATTTTGATATGGAATTCTCTTTGTTCAGTAACATGCCCAAACATGAACAAATGTGAAGGAAAAGAACTGTTTCACTTAATAATTATAGAAAATTCTCTTCCTGTTAAATCCTGTTATTTTCACAAAGACAGAGATTGTTTGGATCAAGGAAGGGAGGTCAGGTTCAGATCCTGGGGAGAGTGGTGTGTAGTGATAATAACACTTAGGATTTCTGCAGCATTCCTTATCCAGAGATCTGAGCCCTGTCTCCAGTACATTACAACAGCAGGATATGTTATCTTATGCAAACTCCTTCCTAAATTTCACAATAGCTGTAACAAGCAGGAATCATTAAATTAGTGTGGCTGAAAAACAGCCACGGAGCTCCTTCTTTACTTTGCTTTTATCTAAATAAAGTGAAGCAGTCAGAGCAGATGTATTAGTCCTCTTCACTGTTTACCAAGTATCTACATTACTCTTAATGGGATATAAATACTAAAAGTAATAAAAAAAAGGGGAAAACAAAAAGGAATATCCAAACTCCCCTCCTTTAAGCAAGTTACCTAGTTGCAACCCCTACAAATGCTCAGTTGCCCTTTTACTACATCTGGTTCAAAGGCCACTAAAAATGGGATTCTTTGCACTGACATCAAAGGGCTTGAATGGGACTGTCTGAAACACGGGGGGAGACAAGATTAACTTCAGCTTTCTGCCTATAGAACTCCAGCAAAAAGTAACAAATAATAATCAGAAGATAAGGTTTTCTTGAGAACCTACTGATTTCAGCACATTTTTCCAACATCAGCTACCACTATGAAGTTGCTTGCTTTGTGAGAGTGGTGCAGAGTGTGCTACTAAACACAGTTTGCAGCTTAATATGACCTTTTTTTTTTTCAATAACACTAAAGAACACGGTGACTAAGAAGGAAGCCAGAGGGTGGGAAAAGAAATATGAATAGTTTATAAAGCACTAGATGGGTTGTCTTTATTTAGCACCATATCTGTATTGATCAGGCTTTCCTCCTGGCCTGCTGTGAAGCTGTAAGAACAGGCATCAGCGCCAAAAATCCTGCACCGCTGCTGAAACCTTACCCTACCTTTTAACTACAGGCTTTATTACTTGTGTAAATACATCCTAGGAACTCAGCTTTTAAAGTGGTTCCTCTCAGTAACCAACTTTATTTAAACACATCTGGAACTTCTTTGTAACTCACAACTGCTTTGTGTAGTCACCTGTATGATGAAGGTTAAATGCTGTGGAATTACTGCTGGGGCTCTGATTGCCCCACAATCACAGGAGTGGATGTATAAAGCAGGGATACAAGGGGCAGAGGAGTCCTAAACAAACCTAAGATTATGTTCCTAATTGAAATGGCAGCCCAGGGTTTTCGCATATAAAATCTGGAATCTGAGCTTACTTGCCTTAACATCATCTGTTTCAGCTGCTCCACATTCCAGGACTCCTTCAGCCTTGACCTCATCCTGAGATTATTCTCCCTTCAGTCAATTAGAAGTTCTCAAATATACAATATTTATACCCAGCAATGAGGCAGATCTGCTGATTGTCTTTCTTTAGCTGCCTGGGTGGCCCTAAGAATGAGGAAGTGTCCCAGGACTGGGGAATTCCCATTGTCTGAGCAGGGCTCAGCATTGCCAGGGCTGCACAAGGGCACAGGGGATGTGGTGGAGTTGGGAAGATTGAAGGTATAAAGAGAAGGATTAATTCTACACATTTTGAACATGGCTCTCAAGATTTATGCAAAGTACCCATCCACCTTAAAGATCTTGAAACTGGAAAAGAAAAAGGAATCTATGGAGTTAAAACAACTTTAAAGGAAGGGCTGAAAAATATTATGAATTAGGTCTGTTGGCTTCCAATCTCTGCCTACTACTTCCAAGGCTACTACTGTTTTTACTTTTTTTTTTTTTTTTACTAAATGAAAACACAATCATTAAATAGATTTACAAAACTATTTTGCATCATATGTGAATATCACTGGCAATGGTATCCAGATATCTTTTATTTCTTATCCCAAATCAAAACAGACCCTGGATTTAAAAAATTTATTTGTTGCTATTTCCTTAATCGTGTTTCTTGTTTTGAGAATGCTCTATTTATGAAACAAAAAGTGCTCAAGTCATTAGGTAATATATGACCCAAACAACTTGATGATCAATGTGAATCAATAAATGAGAATCAGGCCTACAGTACCAGAAGCATTCATTCCTTTGATGAGAGTATCTTTCTTCCTGTAGAGCCTCTGTCTTATCTTCTACTAAAACCTACATTAGGTCACTTGGCCAAACCCTTGCCCTTAATTTCTGAACCCTGGTAGCTGATTTAAGAATATATTTTATTACTCCTTTTGTTTGCACAGCAGTGGGTGCTGATATGGTCTCCCCTGGCTCTTCAGAGATTAAACAGCACACGGAAGAAAAAGTAGAGCAATGTAGAAGATGCCTTCAAAATTTCATGTAGAAAACACAAAAATAATTTTTAGGAAAATGCTGTAAAATCAGTTCACACGCAACAAAATTTTTTTTGTCATGACATATCTATATATATGATACAGTTATATATTTCTCATTTCTATGATAAATTTGCATTATTATAATAAAAAATGAGTAACGGTTGCAATAAGGAAAATGAACTAAACGAATCAGAATTTAGACTGATGTAATTGTTACTTATGATACCTGCAACATGTAACCAGTACTTCCTACTCCCTCAGTTTCTGTTAAACAGTAACTGCACAATAAATCTTCTTTTTCTTTTCCCGATGAGTTAAAACACAATCATAAGCATTTGCCAAAATCAATCCTGTATCCAACAGCACGAGAGTACAATATCTAGAACTTCCTGATCTGAAACAATTAATTTTTTCTAGGTATATAAGAAATGGCAATAACTTCAAACCAATTCTTTTTTTCAGAGCTGTTTTGTCACAATATTTTTCAAAACAGAGCACCCCTAGGACTGTGAGGCTGAACTGTAACTCTGCTGATGCTTGGGGAGCTTGGCTTGAACACACCCAGACCCCCCCCTACCCCAGCAAAACAAAGGGTACAAACATTCAGGTCACTGCAGTTCCTCATCCCTCAAGGTGAGCAAGCACTTCTTTCCCAGCTATGAACTTCAATATACTCTTAAATGCAGTAATTTACAGGAGTTCTGTAGCAGTTTGCAGGTTTAGTAGTTTACAGGTTCCCCCCCTGTATTAATTACGAGAACATCTTGTAATTTGCACAAATAGTGTGAAATAAAAGCAATTTAAATTTCCACAGAGAGCTGTGGGCTTGCCTGAGGCTATTGCCCTGCCTGGTGACCACCGTGCTTTTGTGAGCAGCTGGGAATACGGTCCACTCCAAACTCTCAATCTTCAGGCACTGACAAAGGCAAGGCTTGACAAGCTGACAAAACATGACATCTTAATGAGGTTTCTTTGCAAGTGGTACTGGACAGTCCACACCAGAAGCTGCAGTCGGGGGCAGGGCTGGAGAAGAATGTGAGGTTGTAGAGTACAGTGTTTGTCAATTGGACAATTCCTGGGTGATCCTCCAACCAGTTTCTTACAGATTTTAATGGACATGTTAAATTGGCATGATACATAAAAGAAATTTTGGCTGCAGCTCTGTTAGTGTTGAAACATTCTTAAGTGAAACATTTTGATTTAAAATATCCACAATTAAGTTTGCAACATGTCTCCATGTGCTCTCTATAATATGTGTTTTCCAAAACAGGATATATTGTACATACTACTATAAGAAAAGATACAGCCAATTACCTTAAACCCTTACTTATTATCACTTAATATCTGCTACTATGATAGAAAATGGGGCCACAAGCTGGAGTGTTCTCCTAGGTCAAGCTATCAGGTATTTCACACAATACGAAATTTGTCTTAAGTGTTGCACTCTAGGTAGGTTTGCCTGCAAAGAGGTGCTCATAGGTAAGTAGGGAAAAGAAAGTATGAATAAATTGGTGACTTAATTTCACGCAAAGAAATCAGTGGCAGAGTCTTGGGGGGGAAAAAAAAAAAGAAAAAAGCCCTCCAAACAACTCTCAAATCTGTTGCCCAGCTTTAACTCAAAAAAAGCTGCGTCTTTATTACACAAGCGATTCCTTTTGGAATCAGACACGGAGCAACAGGATCAGGTAATTGAAAGGAGCTGAAGGCAGAGCAGCACGGCGGGCCGCGGCTCTCCGGAGGATGTGCTGCCCCGGCCCGGCTGTTACCTGCCCGGGGAGCGGGGGCGGTGCGGGGCCGTGCCCGCCCCCGGCCCGCGCCCCGGGGGAGGCCGGCAGCTGTCGGCGGGTGGGAGGCGTCTGCAGCTGGAAAACAGCAGCTCCGGTTGCTGATCCGATTTGGGGGTGGGGTGGGAGGTGTGTGTGGGAAAAGCCGAGCGATGGATCTTCCCTTCTTTTGATAACACTCTCCCCTTCAGGACTAAGTCTGCACTGGAGGAAATTAACTGCGAGGGAGAAGCGCTAATCACACCTCCGAGTGGGAGCCAGCTCCCGGGAGCAGCGTGTGCCGCCGGGCCCAGGATATTCCCTGCCTCCAACCTGAAGCGATCCCTCCTGGAACGGTTCAGTCGCGCCTGCAGTTCACCTTTGCCTGCAGTTAACCAGCGTGCAATTTGGGTTTAATGGAGCTGGGTTTATTGTTCCTCTTTGGACTTACGATTACGTCGACTGCAGGTAACGTGAATTTCTTTCTTTCTTTGCCCACTTCCACGCATGCACACAAAGAAAGGCTGGGTGGTTTTTTTGTGTTGCCTTTTTTTTCCCCCTCCTTCCAACAGGCTGCAAGCAGCAGCCCACTCCGGTGCGCTGCAAAGAACGGGACTGCGAAGCCATCCTTTGGCCGCCCGTAGGTTTATCGCGAGCCCCGCGGGCTGGCGCTGCAGCCCGGGGCGCACACCAACATAACGGGACTCCCGGGGAGCGGGGTCGGGCCCGGGGGGGCTGCGGGCGGGGGTGTGCGGGCTCGGGGATTCGCCGGGATTTGCCGGGAGCTGAGCGCGGCTGTTGCAGGGACCGCGCTGCCCCGGCCCCGCTCCGCGCTGCCGGCGGCCGGCCCGGGACACCGCGAGCGCGACGAGAGCGGAGCGGCGGCGGCCGCGGGCGGCAGGGCCAGGGCGGACGGCGGAGCGCTGCGGCACCGGGCCCGGCGCTGCACTTGCTACACCTACAAGGACAAGGAGTGCGTGTACTACTGCCACCTCGACATCATCTGGATCAACACCCCCGAGTGAGTGCGGGAAATGGCGGGCGGGGAGGGGCGGGGGAGCCCCGGGGACCCCGCGGGGGCAGCCGGAGGCGGGGCCGGGGGAGCCCAGCGCAGCCCCCGAGCTGCCCCCGCAGCACCTGCCCGGCCCGGACCCCGCGGTGCGCCGGGACGGGTGACAGGAGCAATAGCGGTGATTTCCCACCAGAAATGTGTTTCTAACAACTCACCCGCTGCCAGAGCGGGAATAGTGTGCGTGCGTGCAGCTGTACTAGTTTCGATACCAATTAGCGTGGAAAAATACCGAGACGTTAAGATAATGTTTGAAAAATTCAATATGCCAGATTTTAAGATGTTACAAAAGAAAGCCTTTTATAACTGTGCTGTGCGGAAACGCAAGCTTTTGTTTGAACTCGTAATAAAAACAAATTTTGAAGCCGTTTCCCCTGGATTGGAAGTTCTGAGCTCCACACAGGGCGGCGGGGGTGCAGCACACGTGCAGAAAAGCTGCTCTGCTGTCTGCCTGACAGTGCTTAATGGGAAGAAAGCATCCAGGAAGAGTGACACTTTGCCTACATCCCAAAGGTTAGGGGCCTCCTTTTCCTACCCCACTGTATATATCCTGTCTTGCTGAGTAACCAAAACAGACCTCAGAGTTGTAAAGACTCTCCCAGGCTAATAAGTTCCTGTAGCAACCACAGCGATCAGTTCAGTACAAAAATAATCAGGACATCAGATGAGCCTGAGAACAAGTGACTTCAGGAATTCAAGATTTTCAGACTCTGGGATGTGAACTTGAAGTATTCCGGTGACTAAAGTCTGGGAACAGTTGTAATGATTTAGATCTGCCTTTGAATCGATTGCAAAGCTTTTAATGAGATTAAAATAACAAAAGGAGTAGAAAAATAGAAAGTAGCCATAAACTAGGTTAAGTCAAATGGGGTTTAGGGCACTTAATTTGTAAATTCACGTGTGTGTCCTGGCTAGAGGCCATGTCTGATGACGTCTTTTGAACTTCTACCAACCTGTGAGTATCATGCATTCACACAAGTCATTCAATTCTTTGAGTTCCATACCTGCACTAATCCACCCCAGGATTACTTAGGGTTATTTTAGCCAAATATTTATGACTCAGTAAATTTAAGTCAGACCTCACCAGTGAAAATGGAGGAATGACATTCCTTTTCCCCTACGCACTGAATAAATAGACTTCTGCTAATTTTAAACATACACTCCCCTTTTTCTTTATGATTTTTTTTTAGGATATCCTTTTTTAAGTCTACAGGACTTACAATTTTCATTCCACTGCCAAAATTATTTCATGTGCATTAATTCAGTGATATGGAGAGTTTTCCTACATGAAAGTTTTGTGCCAGTATCGCTAAAGAAACAACAAAAAAATTAGGAAACAAGGCATATAATATTTTCATGATACCTGTAGAATTGACAACGAAGTCTGTATATAGTAAACAGTTGGGGTTCTAAGTCTTTGCTTTCTTAACTGAAGTCAGTTGTACATAAAATAGCAGCAGATCTGTAAAGTCTACCCCCATAGGATATAAGTTAACGTGAAATGATTTAATGTGAGGACTAGGAAATTCTCTTTTTATAGTTTTTATGCCATGTGATGGGATGTTTCTATGCAAACCACGGAATGAATACATTCAATTTCAATATTAATTATTCACACAGAATAATACATTTTTAGCTCCAAAGACATAAACTTGTACAACCTAACAACACTGTTGGAACTGGGTGAATTCAACCTCTGAGGCTGATAAAGAGTGGGCGTATGATGGTGAAATTAGCCTGGAATCAGTCCAGCAGGGACTGAATTTCCTGAAATCTGTCTGAACTGGGCAGCTTTGCTGTCCTGCTCCATGGACAGGTGACAGAGGTACAAAACTCTCACTGAAACAGCACAGTTGTGATTTTCGGAGATCCTCGGATTCTTCCTAGGAATGCTCCCAGGGCAGAGGTAAACATTAAATTAAGTGTATTGGGTATTTTGAACCCTTTCACTGCAACAGAAGCAGGATTTAAGATTCCATGTGCCATGAACAGGCACTAACTCTGCTCTGGTGATTGATTTGGAATAACATGTCAGGAAGTCGAGAGGTTCTTTGGGATGTGAATGAGGGGAACCAGGCCTGCTCGGGCAATTTAATATCCTGAGCAAGTTACACTACTTCTTTGAAATGCAAGTAACCACGGGATGTGTACAGACTGGCTGTTTGTAAAAGGGGCTTTTACATTCCTCTTGTACACGTGTTGTGGAAAGTTTTCGTATTTACTAAAAATTTGGCTCCAATGCAACTTGGAGGATCATATACACAGCGAGAGGCCAGAAAGTTGGTGCTAAAGTTTGGAGAAGTTTTCCTGACATCTGTTGATTCTGGTATTTTTCTTGCTTATTTATATTTTTTTCCCCACTACATCAAACCCTACAATTGCTTCTTATTTTTTTCTTTCTTTCCCCCTGACTTATTTATTTCACTTTATCGCTTCTTGTTCCCCACAAAATTTCCTCAGTACTTTCTGTTTTCAGGCTACTCTTGCCTCTGTACTGTAAATACAAACTTCAATTCCTCCTCTGGTTTCTTCTGCTTTTCCCAACAGGAGCTGTTAAGCATTGTTGTAATATATTCAAAACAAATCTTGGTCATGGCCTCTCCTCCTTTTCTGGAAAAGCAGTTAAAGTTTTTATTGAAGCTGTTGGAGGCAGAGTGACAATAGAAGGTCTATTTCTATCCCTGCTGAGAAACCACTTAGATCAGCAGGGTGACAGTTGTAGAAAAGCACAAAATTGCAGAATGTGGAGCCTCTGACTCCGTACAGCTTTCACCAATTAAATGAGAAATTATCTCTGCACACATGTTTTGAGTATTGCTCTGTACTTGACTGTGAACCACTGCTGTTAGTCCAGACCATGAGGAGCACCAGTGTTGGTTTGATATAGTGAGTTTTTCATTCTGGGAGCAGTGGGAAAGTGGAAAAGAAGATGACCTAAAGAAAGGCAGGTAAGTCAAAAGAGAATAATGCAATTATGTGGTGTAGACAAACAAAGGTTGCATAACAAAGGTAATTAAAAGCTGGTAAACTGTGCTCCCTGATAAGATTGATTAGCCAGGGATTAGTTTGCAATGTATTTTTTTTAAGTGATTAATTATGCTTATCTTGATCTATAGCTACAGACACATTTTAAATAATGAATTGTCTTTTAGACAGTACCCACTGACGTAATACAGGCACAGCTTGATGCTTAATTTTGTAAGTTAAAGAAGAAAATATAGGTAAGGAAGAAAATATGGGCAACACTACTTTTAGATCTGCACTTCAGAGGGATCCTATATTTCAATATGAACTGAGATTGTACATTCAACAGCAATAAAAACAATTATAGTTCATTCAGTAAATAACATGAATGTTGTTGCATGAAGCTCTATTGATGCTCAGAATGATGAGTGATAGATTAAAAAGGTGACAACTCCTAAGAAAGTGTTACTGTCATGAGGGCACAGACACTCAAGTGGTCTTCAATTCTAAAATAAATGAGCACCTATGGCAATAATCCAGACATTTCCAAAGGAGAATTTCTCACTCAAACTAAGCACCAAAAATAAGAACATGTCTTTTGAAGGGTCTAAAACAAAGCAAAAGTGCTTTTTTCTTTCCTAAATGACATGTCATTTTGGTATTTGTTATTATGTTCAAAAGAGGAGTGAATGAAATTCTGTGACCACACTGTTAAGACCAGTTACATGATGATCTAAGAGTTCTGTCTGCCAGTTACATAAATTTCTGAATCAGGCAAATTGGATGGAAAAAGTGAAAGGCATATTTTGATCTAACACTGTGCTGCTGCTCTGATCCTCTGTACTTAACACAGGTTCAGTTTCCTCTGGGGGAGAGCAAGGACAGGGACAGGACTTGTGTCTGTCTCTGCTGTGTGGGACACACTGGGAGAGGATCTGCTCAGTGTTCCTTGCTGTGGGAGCACATGGGGTCACTGGAAGGATCTGGTATTTTGTCACTTAATAAAAAAAAATTGTTTCTGTGACTCAGGCAAGTCAGATAATCCTTAGCAACAAGTTAGCTCCAGATAGTGCCCAACAGAAATGTGTTTTCCTGACCTCAGGTGACACTGGCTGAGGTGAGAAAGGCTTTTCAGACACTTGTGGTTGTGGCTGTAAGTGACGATGAATGGGTTTGTCAGGAACTAAACAGCCTGAGCAGATCCCAGCTGCACCCAGCTCTCCAACAAATATGAGTTAATGATCTTTGCTCATTACTGACTTAGGTTACCTCAGAAAATCATCTCAGAATGGAAACAATCTGTAGCCTAGCATTACTGCACTCACAGTTTTGCTCACACACACACAGATGATGTCTCAGGATGGTGTTCCAACAGACAAGATTTAATACAGCCCAGTGCCTACTCTGCTCTAACTGCATGTGCTGCTGGCCAATTTTTCCTTCATAGCATCTTTTTGTTACCTGCATCTCTTTGGTGATTGAATTTTGTTGAACAGAAGCCCACATAACAAAATTTAAGATGCTTTTAATCCTTATGGACATTAAGCGATGTTCTAAATTATCATAATTACCCCAATTCTGGATAATTCTATTCATCATTAAATAAGTATAGGTGATGTATTGGTGTGAAGTATTTTAGTGGAAATAAAAGTACACAGCTCAAGATCTCTTGTTCAGCAGAACAATTAAGCAGGTGCTCATAAACTCCAGATCAGATTGAAAATCCCTGCTAGTCAGAGGCATGATGATAAAACAGTGGCTGCCAGCCAGGCAGCTCGAATAAGGAAGCTCATCTGTCAGCTGAACAGTGCACATGGTTAACCTTCAGAACCAAGTGCCAAAACTGAAATGATGAATCTTTGTTGAGTTGATTTTATTTTTCTGAATGAAGCTCGCCCTGATTTTGCAATCTTTACTGTTCATGGGAACATGTGGAATCTGTTTGTCTTGCAAAATCTTCATGTGAAATGAAGAATATTTCAAATAGA